GCCTCGCTCGCCAGTGGACTTGGAAGACAGACAAGAATAGGTAGACAAACCAATAAGATGCCTACAGCACGACCGCCACTGAGCCCGGTTTCTCGCCATATTCTGCAGCGTTGGCAGCCATTGGTCTGCGGCGTCGCACGGACCCCATCCAGGGAGTTTAACCCTGCCAACTGAAGCTAATCTACTTGTAAGCCCTTTCGTCTGACGGCTCCAGGTCAGTGCCTGGCCCCCACGTACTCTACGCCAGCTAGGATTGGGGGTAGCAAAGAGTGTCCTATGTGGGAAGCGGCTCGGTGACATATGCAATACATGTCCGAGCCATCTTAGTTTGCTCAAGTTCACGAGCGTTCCTAAATTGGACTCTGGTCCTAGAATACGATCACGGACCGTGGAGTTTTGGATCCTTCGGTGCCAACCTATGCCCGCAATACCACGCAAGCAACGATGATACTGAAGAGTAAGGACTATGAACATGGGGTGGGGAAGGGGCAAAAAGAGAGATAAGAGAGGGGTCAGCAGTAACTTGATTTCGCTTACCTACCCTGCTGGATGCAGTAGGCAAGGCGACCCTGATTATAGTGCGCGACGGCCGATGCACTATGGATGTAGCATTTTTGGAGGAGTTCATGATTGTGTGTGGGCTGGAATACTGCCAGGTCGCCCAGGCCTAGACAATAAGAACCTATTATCTTTTCTATTTGCTAAGATATCACTCCTGTACTGAATCAAACAGTAACCACCTGCCCACCTCTTTCCATTTTTGGAAATGGTACCTTGTATACACTTACTTCTATATATAACATGAATAACCAATCAACAGCTTAGAATGTCCCCCTAGCGGTTTTCTCAGCCATTTTGACATATTATTGTGCTAATTTCATTCTTTTCACACAAGATTTCAAACGATGAGGTAAGGCTTTAGTGAGCTCAAAATTTCATATTTTTTAGACCCAAATACAGCTTAATTACTACACTTGATAAATTATAGTGGAATTCAATACAGTAATTTATTATTTTTTTGGTTATTTAAAATGTAATATAAAACCTAAAAACATTTTCTTTTCACATCCTCCATGTGGAAAATTTCATAAGGCTTAGCAACCTATGACAAGTGGCAAAGGTCATAACTAGAAGAGATAATTGTTTGGTTTACTTTCTTTATTTACTGTTACATATTTTAAGAATAAGTTTAAGAACTTATTTGTAAAAAGAAATAATCTATATACATATATAATGTATAATAATTGAAATTTGACTGTTTTTTTACAAAATAATAGTCTACTAAAACACAGCTAAGACAGGTCACTTTGTAAAGACTAAAGGTCAGTTATATATATTATTGGATACAGTAACACGAGTGTATGTGCACCACATCATTGTAACTTCTGTACCGTTAGCCAGGCATAGCTGGAAGGTCAATATAATAAAAATAATAAATATATATAAATGTATAATGTTATGAGCTTGAAGCTATTTAGACTAAAAATTTGTGTTTACATGTTATAATTTGTAGTCATTCTAGAATGAAATAAGCATAATTTATATTTTTCCCTAATTTTTTATTGTAGTTACGAAGTCAGTGAAATTGAACCAACCTGTACAGAAATACAGTAGTGAAAATAACAAATAAAATATAAAGTTTTTTCAACAAAATATTTGATAATTACCTTGAGATTATAAAGACTTTGCATGTAAAATTTGAAAATATTCTAATGCATTGAAGTATTTTTAATCTTAAAATCAAAATTGCTTTGCATGTTGGATAGTCAACATACTGAAAGAAAAAGGTTTACAAGAAAATATTTAATTATAAAATCTTAATAATACTTTCTTAATACATAATTTAAAAACCTGATATTTTTAGTACGAAAACCTTTTAATGTTTACCAATAACCTGCAATTTGTAAAGCTGTGCATACATTATCAAAAATTATAGTATAATTACTCTCATGGATTCTTTTGTGGTTACGAGCTGGGTAGATTACACCCTGCCCATAATGGAAGGGTTAAACCAAATTATTATTTATGAAAAACAATATAAAACTTTTTTTTATTATGTAAAAATTCTCATAACACAAACTCACAACAGTAGTCAAGGCTGTGTAGGGGTTATCAACACCACCTGGGACCTGATATTTGCTTGCTATACTTTCAACTTCTTCTGTCAGCCCCACTATGGCTTGGTGTTCTCTATCAGCATCGCCGAGTGTCTGCTTAAATTGTTCGTGGGCATCTATTAAACCCTAAAGATATGAGAATCAGATCATAGATAAATATTTCTCAAACAGTCATTATTTTTCAATTAATGTATTGTCTCTAATCCCCCCCCCCCAGCATTTTTATAAAGTTTATCTTGTGTGACAGCAACAGTAATCTGACATATAATCCACTTTCTTTACCATACTATTGATTTGAAAAACAAATACACACACCTAAACTTATTAGCATTGAAATCAACAAATCACATTTTAAAAATATAGTCCAGAAGTGCACAAATATTATAATTAACATACATACACCCTCTTGCAGTTTGGAACAGCTTGGGGGGGGGGGCATTAATTAGGGGCAATATGGTAGATACAAATTTATGTAACTTTGATGAGAAAATAATAAATAATACTTGCTATTATTTAATATATTCATTTACAGACCAAACATAAATGAAATTGTATTAAACTTTAATGTACTGTGAAATATAAATTAAAAAATCTTCAAACCACACTGCTATTCATTGTGACTTGCAGACACTGAATAGATTACCTTTGCATGATTTTTAAATGTATTTTCAAATTATTTGTTTCATAATGTTCAAAATAATAATAAGAGTCTTGCAAATAAACTATGCAATCAAGAATTCATAAAGATATTTTGATATTTGTAACACTTCAATACATCTTGGCAAGTTACTTCTAAAACTGTTAAATAAATGGAATAAAACTAAAATAATTTTGTATAAAACAATCAAATAAAGTAATATATTTTAAATTCAATTATTAATTATTAAATATCTCTTACATATTTCATTATTTGACAGATTTATATATACAATTAATCTGAATTCCCAGAAATACATTAGAAAAAAGGACTGCATACTGCAACTTATCAGTAATTACTTCCCAAATCATCAAAACAACTACTTTAACTCCAGAAGAACTAGGAGACGGAATGAGTGACAGAGTGAAAGTTGTATTTTTAGTGATGCTGCATTACTGATTTAATGTATCTGCTACCAATTAAGTTTAATGTTCCCAAATCACCTGAAGTTTCAAAGTGTGATAACTCTTTCATATTTCTGTTCTCTATCTGAAGAATATGTAATCTTTTTATGATTTCAAGTGCCTTGAAATTTCAGCATCTGTTCCCAAATAAGCTTTATATCTGATTATCTATGCTATTTGTCATTTTTGTTTTAACATGCATTCAGCTTTTCTCAGCCATAATTTATGAGTAAACTTGACCACCAAAAATCAGCGAGAGAATTTTCTATTTATTGATGACAGTAGTAAGCTAGCCAACTCGCACAGTTTCCACTACAGTTAACTCTTGCTTTGAATTATCACTCTTTTTACAACAGATTAGATAACCAGCACTACATGACTTGATTTCCATGTGTTTTCACATTCTTTTAAATTAATAATTTCAGAAGAAGGGTTTTAATTCTTTTGTCACACCATCTGGTTGATCTAGTGTTCATTCAGCATTAAGAAAAATAATGGGGAAACTTTTCTAAATTCATGATTGAAGAAAAATGTAAACTGAAATAATGGGTTAACAACAGAATAATGTCAATAACTTTTATGTTCATAGTATATATGTATTAACTGATGTACTGAGAACTTTTTTACGTTAATTATTACAGGTTTGCCATTGGAACTGTGAAAAAAAGTTAGATAAGACATATGCTTACAAGTACCTGGAACTATGAATTACTGGTAAGCATTTTGACCATAACCTAAAAATTTAACTTACAATGAAGTATACAGTACTAGTGTGCCTCATCTCTACTAGCAGGCTCATGGATAGCCTGTTGGTTTCTGAAATAATTATAGACCACTCACACTTGTCAAAAAATGATGGCAAATCAAAAAAATTAGAAGCCTTAATAATATATTCACTATATAACAATGATTAGTTATGTAAAAGTTTTCTTTGTTCAAATTTCAATAACAATTTACATTTTTTCTAAATTAAGACATGCCTTTTTGCTTTGTTTCTTTTACAAGCACAAAGCTGCAAAATGAGATATCTTCACTGTGTGGATCGAACCTCAAATTTTGGCATTATATTTTGTTCAATTTAATGTCGAGCCTCTTAAGGGGCTACATACATGTCTAATTACACTTTTCAGCATATAGAAATAGCAAATTCAAAAGAAAAACTATTTGTGATTAAAGTGTTTTTGTAAAACATATATTGATATTCCTGGTCAGATCAGAAATTAAAACATTTTTTTTATTAAAAGCTATTATTTCTCTTTCTACATGGTGCTTCTTTTTCTTTCAGGACAGTGATTAAAATATAGCAAGTCTTACACAAGACCTGAAGTGAAAATTTGTATAATGCTCTTACACTCAAAGTAAACAAATATGCAAAAGAAATGGAGACAGACAGAAAAATGATAACAATTTAAAAAAAAGAATACCTCTATGTCTTACTACTTAAGTTTATAAAATACAATGGTATCTATAATAAAATATACAAACAATATTTAAAAAGTATATGAAAATATTTTTAGTTGGATATACAAGACTGTTCAGCTTGGGAGATATTATTTAGTTTATTTGGTGATTTAACATTTAATGATTGTTTGGTTTTCATAACAAGTGTTAAAAGTTAATTATTTTGGAAGCGATAGTTATGACAAGTTTCGTTAGATAACTCTGTATGAGTCATACATTGTGTACGTAGTTTAACTGTTGTACTAGGCTTTTGTAATATTATTGCCATCATCTTACTCGAAGCTTCTAAGTTTTTCTTCTTATGTGTAATATTGTTGTTACTAGAGGGCTAGATATTTATAGATTTTTCTGTCTCGTGTTATATATATGTACAGATAGAGTTAGAAGTTAAGTTAATGAAAGTGAAGTTAGACTGTATCAGTTTAGCTGTAATGGGCAATTTCTAAAGTGAGTTTTATAGCTTGTATTATACCAACAAAGATAGAAGAAAATAATTTGTCTTGTCAAAGGGTGTTCTAAAATAATTAAATCCACCTGTGTGGATTTTGATGAAAAGGAGAAAACTGTGGTAACCAAGAGCGTATAGTGATGACTTTCAAAGTTTCATAATCACAGACTGTATTGTAATAACAAAATAGAGAAGAATAATTCATCTTGTCAATTGGGTTCTAAAGTACCTGAACCAGCCTGTACTTTTGATGTAAAAGAGAATAATTTAAAGCTCTGGATACAACTGTGATAACCAACAGTGTAACAAATTTTTGTACATTTGTTTAACTTGTTTTGAATGTATTATTTTAAAACAAGTGGATTGTGTGCTGTCTGTTAATTGTTGAAAGTTATCACTAACAGGTCAAAGACACCTACTGTAAAGAATCCAGCCCTATATAAAACTTGACAATTTGAAATACTGGTGTTTAAAATTTATATTAGCATTAGTTAATCAGACACACAGTAACAAGAACAACTATACTGGCCCAATTTTACAAGAATACTTGAGTTTTTCGAATTTATAATATATAGGAAAACATGCAATAATCTAACATAACTAAACCATATACAAGTTATATTTGCAGTAAAATATATACAACTGTAAATATTTCAAATCTATCTACAATTTAAAGCAACAAGTATGATTTATACAACTAATAATAATTTCTACCATTACCTGAATCTCATCCATTGTGTGTACAATGAACATATCCACCAGATCTTCTCTAGCACCATCTAACCAATTGTTGAAAGGCTTTAAAGACAAAAATATGAAGTTAGGAGCATACAACCAAACTGCTCATAACCATTGTTCCCTCTATATCATTTTTGTCCAGAGCAGGCTAAAAATTCTACTGTGCACTACTTTACTTGTTCTCTTTAGGAGTCTTCTTACACTAAACTAAGTCACTACCACGTTATATGCTCTGAACATAAGATGCACAAATGGCAGTGAGAATGTTGTAAAACTTAACTTAATCCACTAAATAAAGACAAAAATACCTGCATATTTTGTAGTTATTAACTGAAGCACTAACTTATCAGTTCAATATAATCTTCAGTATTTACCCAAAAGAAGATTCCACTAATAAAGCAACTGACAATTTCCTTCCCTGTTTAGAAAGGTAAATGCATACAAATATGTTTTTAACTCGTATAAGTAAATCAACCAATAAATTGCTTCAACTAGTGTCACATTTGAAACTTTTTTCAACTGACCAAACTCTAAACTGTTCTCAACTGAAAGAGTTACAACTAGAGAAGAAATGGCAAGTGGCATGCTTTCTTACATACATCACACATGAGTTTGCTGTGTGGCTGCAAAGTTCAGAGAGAACACTGCTCATAGTACTTCTTTCCATATATAATCTACTCAGATCAGAAATTAAAAATATATGAGGATAAGTTTTAAACAGAGGTGAAAGACATGTTGGATTTAGTACTTATAGACTTAAAGAGAAAGAAAAGGTGATTAATGATAATATATTATGACTGTTGAAGTAACTATTATACTTCAATTTGTATTGGATTTTATCATAAAAATGTGCAGGTGTTGAACAAGCAATGGAAAGAGTGAAATCAGGGATGAAGTGTAACAGTGGATACACCAGAAAGAAAAGATTTAAACAATGAATTTTTTTAATAAGGTAGTATTTGTTACAGGAAATTTGACATTCCTTCAATGCATCAATATCTAGAAATACTGATAATTAACATTCCAAGAATTTCTGAACAAACATCATTAGCTTCAATTTAACTTTGTTCTATTCTAATAAATACAGTTAAATGAATAAATGAAGATGTAGACCTCATTAAAACAATCTCCTTATGAAAGTCCAGTTAGCTATAAAAACTGACAGGCAAAAAAATTATGTTCTTAAAATGTTATCATAAAATATAATTAAAAATTAGGTTTAATGCATAAGATTAATATATATATCATAATAATAAAAAAAATGTTTGATACTAACAGCTGCTCTCTTGGCAAATTCAAGGTGTAGTTGATCTATCTTTTCCAGTACAGTTTCTGCTTCCTACAATTGACAGATATTTCATGCTTTAAAGGCTAAACATAACATTAAGTAACAACTAGAACATTTTGGATCATGGTGCAAAGAATTAACAACAGCATGAAAAGAACCAAAATAAGAATAAATAACTACACACGCAACATAAAAAGCCATCTTATTAGAAGTGCAAGTTACACAAATGTTAAAAAATATGTAAACAAACAAAAGTATTTATAAAAGCTACACAGTATACAAATAGTAATTTTCTTATTTTGAAGGAAGTGAACTTTTATCTATTAATATCTGGCACTATCAGTAAGAAACTAAACACCTAAGAGTAGGAAATACCAGTTGAAAAATCAACCATTTGGGTTTTTTTTTAATTAGCACACAACTAACAGAATTTAAACAAAATTATAAAGCTACAACTACTACTGTTTACCTCCAAAGCATAGCACCGTTTCTGCATCAATGTCCCTAGTTTATCCCACTGCTCACATATATTTTGACACCTAGTGTTTATAGTGGCTACGTCATGGTAATCCAAGGCACTAAAATAATAATACAAAATAAAGTAGCTTTAGGGTTGGAAAAAAAAAGTTTTCAATGATGAAGTGATTTAACTTTTGTGTTTTTTTGACACCTTTAACTTTGAATACATGCAAGACTATGAGAAACAGATTTTATAAGCAAATATCACAATTTTAACAAACAAAATTCTGATGTTTGATTTAGCAGATAAAAAAATGAAAACCCAAGTTTTCTCATGTAACTTAAGTTCTTCACCCTATACATATGATGGGATCAAAGTGTGCATGTCATGACCTTTTTTATAGGCTTAACATTAAAAATTTAATTAAACAGCTTTATTATAAAACTATGTCAATACACTTGGCATCAAAATATAGTTTATAGTTCAAATTTAAATGCCATACAAGTTTTAATTTCTTAAATTTAAAGGGAAATGTTGATTCAAATTTTCAATCTGCAGCTCTGAGTCACATGGTTTGGTGGCACTTTGATTTCTAATTTTCAGATTTTTTTTTCCTTTACAAGATTGTCCAAATAATTAGAAGCATGTTCTATAGATACTGACAATATAGAATGTAAACTTTCAACCTCTTGTCTCCTTGCTTTACTGAGATATCACTATAACTGTACAGGAATCTGCTAATATGTTCCTACTTTGAGGTGTTGCTTTTCAGTGATGAATAAACTGTATGTGAAAAAGGCAAATATCTGCAATTCTGAATATATGAAAATTACAAATATAGCATAGTGATGCCTTCAAAAAAGAAGAAAACAGGTATGCTTCATTATATATAAAAAAATTTCAAAATTTTATTTTACAATACATTAAGATTTAGCTACAATTAGTGTAAGGATATGGAAAGGAATAGGTAAAATATAAACTTTCACTGAAAAAACTTTTGATATTCATTAAACTCTCTAAACATTGGCTCGGTCAATTTGACTGACCACGTGACCTCTTTGTATTCAAAGTCTTTATAGATTTAATATTCTAACTTTCAATATAGTATGTACATCTTCACAAAATTTGGCAGTCTTTTGGTTAATATTATAAGTCTTTCACATACAAAAAATCATATTTTTAGGGAAGTATTTTGAATAAAATAAAATAAAGATTTGTCCATTGATATATTGAGTATTTGTTTTGAATAATCCTTGTGCAAAGTAATTTTCATGTTAAACTAAAAAGACTTTTCCTCATCTCAAATTTCCTTTGTGTAATCCTTAAAACGTCCTAAATGCATCTCAAACGTTTTTTTTCAGTAAAATTTTATAGTTTATATTTTTATTTTCTCTACCCTATCACAAAGAAAAAAAAATCTAAACATATCTATATTTCCCTTTTTCTTTCTATATTGACTTCAAATTATAACATTTGTTTATCCTAAGTAGCTTTAAACTAGTAACAATGTACGTTTATTCATACTTAAATTTCATTGTTTTATTGCCCTTTGAACCACGTCTAACTACTACTGTTCACGTCATTGTAAGTTATAAATCACTCGGGGAACGAGCAGCTCACGTTATGCTATCGAACTAAATTACCCACGAGCTGCTCGCATGCATGCCTCATGAACCTAATTATATTATTATTACTTATTTTACCTAATCTAGTCTTAATAACTTAATAAGATCCTGTTTTAGTTACTTTTATCATAATAAATAAAGAATAAATATGAAAAGCAAGAAATAAACCACTTACCCAATCTTCTTTTTTTCTTGCTGTCAGGTTTCGAAGAGAGTTAACCCTAATTTTTTATACTATAGATAGTAATGCACTTAATAATTTTTATTTAATTAAATAATGCACCAAAGAATATAGACTAATTCACTTATCTCTCAAAATTTTCCTGTCTTTCTAACTATGCAGCAAGAGCTGTTACAAATTCATCGAAGATAGTCATTATCTTTCCCACGGAAATGAATCTTTTACTGTGAGTGGAATGGATGATATTCTGTTCAGAATATATTATACGTCATTTGACACATGAAAATCTTGATTTTCTATTGGTTATAAGTAATATATAATGAAACGTAAGAGAGAACTATCAATGAATTGTGAAAGAGAGGATGTGACAGGAGGGGTCTGATTTTCTATTTGATAGCTCTGTAACCAAACAAAATTGAAGGCTATAAAAATTATGGTCTGTTTGAGGTATAACGATTTGATAGAGAGTTTTTTACGTTTAATTTCGTACATTTTCGAGGGGTAATGGATAAAATAGGGATAATGACATGCTAAGACAAAAT